AAAAAGCTCGAGCCAAGCCCGAGCTTTTCTATTTTATTTATAGTACGTATAAACAGTACAAATTTTAAATTTTTCAAGCAAAAATATAGATTTGACATAAAAAAAAAAACCCAAAATGCTCGGTCCGGGCTCGGCTCGGCCCGCTAAGGCTCGGACCGAAAGCTCAGGCAGAGCCTCATTTTTTAAGCTCGGCTGAAAAACGCTCGAGCCTAGTCCGAGCTTTTTTTTTCTTTAGCTCGGTTCGTTGACATAGCTACTAAAGACTGAAAATCATACAAAGCAAAGTGCAACTACAGCTAGGAACATATTTCACTGATAACAAGTGCACCAGTAAAATTATATAAAAGTGTTGCAATAGCCAATTTTATCACACAAATTTCATCAAATTTGAACAACTATTAGTCGATCATAGTATTTTATGAGAATTGTATGCAAGCTAAACATTCATAAGAATGCAATTGTGCATGTTTACACTGCCAGGGTCCAAGAATAATAAGTTGTAGTGGTGTCACGTTTACCTGATGTTGCACCTGGATCCCAATTATGGTTCTTCAATGATCGTCATGTATTATAAATAATATTTTCATGCTGTAATTAGTCAATCAGCTTGTTTAGTTAAACTTTGTTAGTTTAGTTAAACTTTGTTTTCTTCCTTTTCCAGCTGGAGATTAGTTATGCCAGCTAAATTATCTTTTCCGCCTATTTTTTCCTTCTTCTCTATTTAATCAGAAGAGGTTGTATTGCATTCTCAAATAATAGAAATATTTTCCCTCCAAAGGTGTTAATCCCTTTGGTTTCAATATGGTATTAGAGCTATAGCTTTCCAACTTTGAATCTCGAAATCATTGAAGAGAACTTCGTCATTTCTGCTGCTATGGATTCAGTAAATAATCAAATCCACATTGACGTAAATTCTTTCGTGAGCAAATCAGCCCTTGATGAACCATCTAGCCCATTCTATCTTCATCATTCAGATAATCCTGAATTGGTACTGGTGTCACAGCCACTTACAGGTGAGAATTATGGATCCTGGAGTCGTGCGATGGCAATCGCACTTTCAGTGAAAAATAAGACCTCCTTTGTTGATGGATCTATGCAAAAGCATGATGAATCAAATCCAGAATTGATAAATTCATGGATTAGAAACAATAACATCGTTATGTCATGGTTACTGAACTAGGTTTCAAAGGAGATTTCAGCCCAGCATCATGAGATCTGGAATGACCTCAAAGAGAGGTTT